GCTCTTTTAAGAGTTGTGGCTCACACTTGGTTGTCAAGAGTTATACTGTGAGCCATGCCAGAACTGCAAGTTTCCTTCGATTTTCTTGTAAGTATTGAAACATTGCCATAATTATACTACCTTTTTCGTACTAATACTTGTTTTTTTGTTCTTACTGAACCCAGTGAAAGGATTACTTAGCCCTATACGTACTTTACCAGGAGGGTTGGTCAAAAACTTCGGTTATTCCTATGAGGCACCTACTGTAACTTGCGTAATAGAAGATGATACACTAACCAATCATTCGGAAGAACTTCGGTTATCCCATAAGCTATTGTGGTTCATGATTGGTTGCCAAGAGTGTGTATTATGGCTCAATCATTTGTTGACTCAGTCGTTTTATGTTGATCAAGCCACCATCGTTACTTGCGAATTTATTGTCTGGAATGAAGCAAAAGACTCATATTTCTACACCTTTGATGACCGAATTACGTCTTAGATGCGTTAATTCGAATCAATTGCCCGGGTAACTTATTTATACTGCAGTTTACGAAAATAACTGATAACCCATCGCTTCGTAAAACATTTTAAAATTAAGGTTTTATTTTTTCTTAATATTGCCAGCTATAATGGCTATATATGTAAAATGCTACAAATAGTCTGTTAAAAATACATGATTCTCAAGCTAAGTCCTATTGTTTTCATGTTAATTATAAATCTTTACTATTTTGTTAACTGCTAATTTATTTTCTCTATTTTAGGGCATTCTCGAGCATCTTTGCCGATGGATCAAAACGTGTCAGAAAATGGTTGGAATTGGCGAATAGTTTAAACATGCTAGATGCAACCCCCCTAGCAGGTTAACGACATTTTTTGTCACATACATTATATATTGTATATCGATATTATAAAACTTAAATTTTAATTATAAATTTTTTATTGCGCAAAAAATGAAAAAGCCATATTCATTCAAAATTATTCGGTGAATTTATTATCTAACTTTCATACTATAACATGAAATATTTATGAATTTCGAATTTATTGCTAATAAAATGTATTTTGGTTCAAATTTTTTATGTCGTCTACTATTGAATTGGGTTGAAATTTGATTTAATATTTCTTTTGCTGCAGAAAGTTATAAGACTTTTCAAGTAGGTCAAACGCCTATATCAGAGTAGTATCATATTAGATCC